ACCCCTGTGAAAGGGTCGTTCGACCCCCAATGGGGTCGCGACTCACAGGTTGAGAACCTCTGGTCTAGAGGATGCTTTCCTTTCCATTTACATCTCCAAAACCTGTACATCTTTTCATACTCATCTCAAGCCCTACATCTGTCATCTGCTATAAATCCCATTGATTTCTCTTTCCCCAAATACCAATTTGTGTGTCTGTTGGGAATGTTTGTTCTCTGTGGCAGATGATTGAGATCAGCATGATTGGGGAAGAGGTCTATTCTCTGTGAGATCACAGGATCTTCACTACTGTCTTTCAAATAAGTCATGTTTAGTATGAAAGAAGGGATAGAATAGAGGTTGGGGAGGCAATAGTTCCTATCTTTCAAAGGACTTGAGTTCCTTTATTAGGTACTGGATGTGCATTACAATTGTTTCTCCAGCTGGATTGGGACTCACTTTTGACTGTGGCTCATTCTTCTATCCCTTTCCCTTATTTCCATTTCAGTTTTATCATTTATTGACAGGGAAAAAAAAGCTGAATATGAGTGATCTGTTTTGAATAGAACACAACTATTTGCTGTGGTACATGAGAATAGCCTTTTGCTCACATTTATTTTAGCAACTTGGGAGTCAAAGCTGAACTTTACTGAGATGAATTTAGAAACTTTTAAGCTATTACTATTTTAAATTTTACTTTTATGATAATTTTAGCCTGTAAATCGTGTTGGTATGCCTATATATTTCGTACACCTAGAAAATGTCCTTTGAAAGGGATGGCGATAAACGGTGAATTAGAATGTGGTAGACACATGTCTAAGCTCTTTCTAGATTCAGGTAAGATGAGCCGAGTGTCTCACTGTGATGTGGAAAGGACCCCTGGGAAATCATCATGCTGAATGTCGAGGGATAGAGCAGAAAGTATCAGTAGATTCCTGTGAAAAATGTGTCAAGAAATATTTTAATGGGATTTCTTCTACTTTATTTACCAGTGAACTGGATACTCAATAAATACATGTATTTCTGTTGTTGAGTGTTATAGCACTGCCAACTTCTGTACCCTGTGATTGATAGAAGTTGAGAATAGCCTCAGTGTTCACCATCTGTCATTAGAAAGTCAAGTTCTTCAGATTTTCAAATGAATACAGCTTCTTTATAAGATTTTAAATAGTATGGCCATTACACATTTCATATTACCTCTGTGAAAGACAGTCTTTTGCAGTGCCACATCTGACTTTATTGTTTATCTTGCTCGTCAGATTACTGCCCATCCTTACTTTGTTGGTTACTTGAATGTTTCTGGCTTATTTCACATATTTTTGGGCTATTCTTCCTGGAAAACAATGGGAAACAGGTGAGTTCAAACATACGATATACATGACTATGTAGAAAGTTACTATTTTTAATAGCAAGGCTACTTATAAGACACGTTGCTTTTAAAAATTATACAAAATTAACATTCTCTTTTAGGTCATGTAACCATATTTTTGATAGTTGGCCTTAGGCCAATTTACTTATGCTTGTAAATGGTCACAATAGAAAAGAGAGAATTTGAAGAACTATTTTGAGATCACTAATATGTTATTTCAAAGAGCATAAACTCTTTGAAGGATCCTGATGCTGAAGTCATAAGGGGCCTGCTGAATTTCCAAGTTAATTGGAATTCAAGCAGACAAGGGAAGGACTGGTTACAAGTATACCTAGAAATGGAAACAATTGGATAATGACTAAAACTAGGTGTTTAATAAAGATGCACGCAAATTTTTAAATAGAATTGAAGGGCAGAATTCAATTAAAGAATGGGCTAAACATCAAACACTCGGAACTTGGTTATAAAAATATGTTAATTATCTTTATTGAAAAATTCAGTTTCATTCTACCTACCTTTTGATGAAAATAAAGAAAATAATTAAGATAGACAATGTTAAAAATATTTAAATTTTAAAATTGATTGTGTTCTGTCTTGTTAGTTTCAAGGGGTATATATTCAAGTATTTTTTCTTAAGTTATATAAAACAAGTAGCTATTTTTTCCCATTAGAGCAGCGGTTCTCAACCTTCCTAATGCCGCGGCCCCTTAATACAGTTCCTCATGTTGTGGTGACCCCCAACCATAAAATTATTTTTGTTGCTACTCTATAACTGTAATTTTGCTACTGTTATGAATCATAATGTAAATATCTTTTTGTTTTCTGATGGTCTTAGGCGACCCCTGTGAAAGGGTCATTTGACCCCCAAAGTGGTCGTGGCCCACAGGTTGAGAACCGCTGCCTTAGAGTTAACACTTTCTAAAAGTAAAGAGCATTGTCTTGTTATAAGGTTAGAAATGCAATGAGCCCTTGATCTAAATTTCTTAACTGACATTTGTGAGAGTAAAACTTCCATTATTTTATAGATTTTATAATAGTCACTCACCTATGTGACCTAGCAATTAAATTATTAGAGTGTATTCTAATTCAGGATTTCCCTGAAGGTCATTTTGAATATATATCGATTTCAGAGGTTCCCATGCGTCTCATTAAGCATTCTGAGCCACCAGGAACAAGTGCTTTTGGCACACCAAGTCCACACTGAGATTCAAATTCCTTTTGAGAGCAATTTGTGGAATTAACTTACCTATATGATTTAGGCCTGCTAAGGGGTTCATTCAACATCTGTTTGGTCATCTTTGCTAGAGATTTTTATATGAAGAAATAAAAAAAAATCCCTAGTGGTATTATTTACTTAATTCCTTAGATTCTAATTTAGGCAAACATGAGATGTAATGCTCATAAAACACTTCATCTTTGGGATTTGTTCTGTTTTGTAGAATATTAATATATTAAAAGTTGAGTACTTTTCATGGTTTGCCTCTAACAAGTTAATGATTAGAGGCAAAATTCAGTAGTTTGAAGGTTATGAGTCTAGTTAGTTTCCTCTGCAGCATCCACTACTTCTTGACATTTCGCCCTTGACCTCAGTGACACTGTGTTCTCAATTGACTTTTAAAAAGCTTGTTCCTATTACTGCCCTGCTCCCTTTGCCTTTCTCTTGAATATAGTCTTTACTATCTCCTTGGCCCTCTTTGATGTGATCTCCCCCAAGTGTCTACTAGCTCCTTTATAGATGGTATTCCCCAAATCTGGATAAGTACACCTCTTGGTGACTCAGTTCTCTCAGTGAAATAGTGAAATTGTAATTATTCTTGAGAGTTTATATGTAAAAGACCTATGGGAATAACCAATTCATATTGTATGTATGGCTGATTTCTCTTCTCTCTAACCCTGGTCTCTCTCCTGAATTTCGGATTTCCGTTTCTAGACATTGGCTAGACACATCTTATGGCCTATGTGGAAACATCAGTATTGTTCACTTTTCTTACCTTTATCCTCAAGCATCCTCACTCTCAGTGGCATTGCCTATTACCCAGTGGCATCACTCTCTGTCAGGTACAAAACATCAAGTTACCTTTAATTCCACTCTCTTCTTCAACATGACCTCCTACAATCATGTGCTTCTTGCTCTGCCATTCTGAGTCCGTCTCCTACTATGTACTCCCAACTGACATCCTGTAATACTAAAAAAATCTGTGCATGCACAAACTTTGCTTAGCTCTTCCTAGTCTCCACAATGTTACACAATGAAGTCATCAGACTCCTATTACCCTTGTCTTGCTCAGTCAGTCAAGATGAACTTTCTTATGCCTCAGGAACAAGCCACTTCTCAGTGGCTTAATGCACATGCCCAGTATGGATGAATAGGGGATCTCTGCTCATTGTGGACATTCAGGGACCCAGGCTAACAAAAGCTATATTTCAATACTTGCTTCTGTAGTCACTAAAGCTGCATCAAGCAAACATGGTAAATCACTCATTACTTCAAACACCTGTCAAAAATGATGCACATTACTTCTCACATTATTGGCCAAAAAACTTCACGTGGCAACTATTAACTAACTTGAAAAAAAATGAAGAAGTACAATCCTACCATTTGCCTATGAGGAGAACTAGAATATTTGTGAAATCTTAATGATCAGAAACTGACAGTTAGAAGGACTTCAACAGTGGTTTTCTTGCCTACATTGAAATTGCTCTTCCTCAAACCTTGTGTAACAAAATTCTCCATTATAACCATGCTATTAAAAAAATCTATTTACTTTTTCAGTGCTTATCATTGTGTGTACACCACATTACACTTAACTAACATAAACTGTGTTCTTCCATTTGCGTTTAATAAAATCCCTTTAGATGTTTGCATATAACTAAATTGCTATCATATTTTTAATTTAATTGGCAATATTCTATTCCACTTCACAGCTATGTTGAAGGTTTCTTAACCATTCTTCAACTTGTGGGAATTTGGGCTATTTCAGGCATTTTATTTTTAGTCTGTACAACATTTTTAAAAAGATTGACTAAATAGAGTTGAGCTCATTCAAAGATTAGATGTTCAAATCAGGCTTACATAAATCAGAGATCTTACCTGATATCAAAGCTTATTAATGATGTCAAGGATACAAACAGACAAGAGACACCGGTAAAGCAAAGAGAGAGTTAGGCTGTTGAGGATTGCTCTCCAGGTCTTTCCTGCATTGGGCACTTGCTCTCTGACCTCGAAAAACAGATGAGGTTTCTAAGTATGGTACATGGATCACCACATCTGTGGAGAAGTGTTCAGGTAATAAGTTATCTGTATGTGCTTGCATAGCTTATATGACATTTGACATAGAGCTGTGCCATAAAAATTCATATATTGTAGATTTAATTACCATAAACAATCATAAACTAGAGACATCTTGCTAAAAACATTCATAGGTAAGGTTTCTCCTCCTAAGTAAATATTTGCTAGCAGATTTAGTTACCAATACGTTTACAAAGCACTGAAACATCTACCTTTCTTTTTTTCTCTTGGATCATATCCATGATCAAAGAAGAGAAATGGATTAAAAACCAATTGTTTAGCTGCTTTCTACACAAGACTCAAGTGGTTTTATTTGGGAATTAGTATTCATATTCCAGATTATTTCTTTGAGATTTAATATACAAGCAATTATGTTTTTTCATTACCCAAACAAATGCATTCTATTAAAATGTTATAAAACATCCACCTTCACTCCACTCCATGTCTGAGCACCTTATGTTTGATAAAAAATCTTCTTGGGTTTTCCTGTGAGGCTGAATTTTAATAGAAATCATATGACCTGAAAGATGTGTCACTCTGTCTTTCTCCATATAAGACAGTTTTTCCAGTTTCTATCCCATTATGCCAACACTTTCCAAGGAAGTTGTTTTCTTACTGTCGATATGTACATGATTAATAATGCCATCTGCTATGCATATTGGCCTAATTTGAACTTAAGAATTTTATTTCTCTTTTAAAACAAGTTTCATTTCCATTAGAATAATTGTATGACTAATCACTTCAGTTTTGTTAAAATAAGTATACCACTAAGCTGTGAAACAAGTTTAATTTGGATGTCTTATATAAAAATGTACTCCTATTTCTAAATTTGGAATTTCAACAAATATCCATGAAAATATTTATATATTTAAGATGATATCACTATTCTTTATAATGTTATGATTCTTGTTTTGAAACTTGTAATTTTAATTTTTTTTGGAACTGGGAGGTGGCATGCTGTATTTTTCAGTTACTCATAAATATTAATATTTATGTCCAGTTTGGTTTCTTAAAAGCAAATATGCATCATTGCTTATGTGTGTTGAAACTCTTTATAGACATGATTATTCCCTGAGAACATTTGAACTCATTAGATGGGTTGATTAATTAATATTCTGCTTGTTTTTCAGAATGATTTTATAGAAGCATCTTTAAACTCAGATACAAATCATACAACAT